GCCCTTGGTCGGAGAGAGGATCGGTGCGGGCTCTGGGGGACGCGGTGCATGAGCTGCAGTAGAGGAGCAGGGTCAGCGTCGCGGGGTTGGAACGCCTGTTGCAGCTCTTGTAACCCAGCACACGCCTTCTGACACGCTGTTACAAATCTTTCTTGCCAGACAATGGTGAACAAGTGTTGGTTGACGTGGAGGATAAAACCAACAAAGAGATAAATGAACACATCAAAAAAATCTTGGGGAAAAGCAAGTAAGTAACAGTAAATAAGCTAATGTACAGTCTAGCTGATATCTTAATACAGTCTCTGCAAACGTGTGTCAGGTATACAGGAGAAAATTTCACCTTTCTCTAACAGCACTGACCTAAGCTGGGTAACTAGAAACTGTAAATCAATCTTTCTGGTTAATCAGCTCCAGGAAAGGAAGTGTTGCCATTCTGGGTTTTAATAATAACAAAAAGATCTCTCTTCTAGAGAAACACTTGAAAAAGAGGAAAAAGAAAAGAAAAAACTATCACATCCAGCAACTTTTGGCCCCAAGAAGTATCATCTACGAGAATGCATGTGTGAAATTGAAGGTCAAGTTCCCTGCCCTGCTTTTGTGCCACTACCCAAAGAAATGCGGGGAAAACACAAAGCTGCTGTGAAAAACGAAGCATCAGCCTGACATCCCAAGTCACACCGTTGGTTTTTCCTCAGGGCCAGATGATCAAGGTATCTGGCTCCTAGAACCAGGGACAAGCAAGTTCATACAATACAACCTTGCCTCCTACGTTTTCTTACAGCACCAACGAGAATAATTAAAGTGAAAAAATAGAAGTTAAAACCCTGCTTTTTTGGTGCCAGTCTTACAAAGAATTAGTCAACACCGCACAGAAGGAAAACAGAGCAACTAAGCCCCTATTTTCTGCTTATGCCTGCATGTGCAAAGTTAGTTATAGTAAAAACAAGACCAGCTCTGTTACCTTAGAAGCAGCAAGAGAATTCCACAGTTTATAGAAAGTTATAAAAGCAGACCTGCTGGTTGCCATCTTGTACTAACTGAAGACAGCCAAGTGATAATGTAACTGCAGGCTCAGGTAGGTGCTGAAGCGTCCCAGCTGATCGAGTTGCCACTCAAACAGTTAAGAGTTTACAAGATACAACTTTTCAGTTGGTGCTGCAGCTCTGAGCAGCGCTGGTCAAGTCAAAAATATCAGCAATCAAGGAGAATGTGTAAGTTGGTATTTTAAAGATATATCTTTATTGTCTTTCCAAAAAAATAAAAATTAAAGCAACTCAGATTAAGACTTCTTAAACAGCCTTCCTTGAAAACAAAAGAAAAAAAGCGCCGTACAAAGGAGAACTATGTCTAGACTTACCACCTTCCAGCAAGTTCCAGCCTTCAAGTCCATTATGCTTCAAAGTCCAGTGCTGCTTTATACATCCTCTTTCTTCAAACACTCCTGCTTTCTGCATGTGGTGTAAAAAAACCCTAAATCATCACAGCTTCTGCCTCACTGAACAATTACACCATACCTATAATGGGATATAAGGGATTGTACTACATTGCTTGGAATTTGGCAGTTGCACATACCTGTCAGTCAGGCCTGGATATCCAAATTACTGTAAAACTCTAGTTTCAGCATTTCTGACCTAATGGTGGAGTAGAAAATTTCCACCTGTTCAAGTATCCCCTAAAAATTGTCAAGGACAAAGACAGCACAAAATAAACATCTTGTTTTATTTCATCTCTGTTTACAAAGTTTCCATACAGAGTAGTGCATGCAGTTGTAACAAAAGCCAAGGCTGAGTTATTTATTGAGCTTTTATGGGTAAGATGTCTTCAGTCCGTTGTGCCAGTCCAAATACCAGCATAAGGTCTTCACTTTGGAGATGACTTCAGTATCAGATGTCTAGTCTATCACACTGAACACTAACGACCATGAGGTATGCTAGTCTGTTATCTGCTCGTAAAAATACATCATTACGTGTACAAGAAGGATACTTTAATTATTAGTGTATTAGACTGAAAATAGAAACAAGGCAGGGTAGTTGCAACAACGAAAAAACACTTTATAAATGTGAAAGCTGAAGCCACTGAAACTTTTTTTCATGTTGATACCAAAAAAAGCTTTGGGGTGCAGTGCAGGGGCAATCCTCTTGACTAGTAAACAACTTTGTCTTAAATAACTACCTTACACTATTTCTGCTAAACAATTCCAGGGATTATATTCAACCACATTAGCATTTATTTTTTGCTACCTTCGTAAACCTGGTGCATGTTTTATTAGTTTCTGACCTTTCATAATCATCTGTTCTTTGTTTCACTTGGTGCAAAATAACACTCAGGAACTCAATCAACTCTAATAAAACATCTCAGTATAAAAAGATCATGGTCTTAAGACAACCTGTTCCTCACACCATTCAGCTTCAACAAGAACATCACTAGCTGTCCTTTACCGGCTGCTCTAAGCTATGCTCACCAGTTGCTACTGAGGATACAGGTAGTTTACAACAGCTCCCCAAGTCCCTACCTCCACTCATTTATAGCAAAAGAAATCTAGAGTTCCTGCTTTTTAGGTAGTGTAATTATTTGTGTCTCTAAAATACTCTGCAGTGCTTGGGTTACAGCTGTGCTAACATATATAATCAGAGACAGAGTTAAAAGGCATGTCCCATTCCACAGAATTTTACACTTCTGCGTAAGCCCACTGTCCCTAGTGCTGTACAGTGTGATCTACCCACTTCTCCTCTATTTCAGCTTCCAACAAGGACACCCTTTAGACTAACTCCTCCTTGTCACTTGCAAACACCGATGCCTCTCAAAGGTAGAAGTCAAAGCAGCTCAGGCTCCATCTTCCACAAAGACACAGGCTGACCTCACCCTGAAGTGACCCGACTTTTCTGGTATGCTCTGCCCAGATCCCAGCCCTCCTGTCACGGGCACTGGACCTGGGCATCCCCCCTGCCGTAGGATCACACGGGAACTCCAGCTGGAGCTTTTTAGACAGACATGGCCAATTCTCGCAACTTCCAAGGGAAATCAAATAGGAAAGAGAATTGCTCTCGGGCAGCGTCACAGCCACAGACCGTGTTCACGGAATTCCAGCTCAGTGGCACTTCAGCTCTCCATTGTAAACAAGATTTTTGTTCCTCGAATGCTACAAAAAGGGGGTTCCAGTCTCACTGATAAGACAAATAGGATTATTGTCACCCCAAGAATTTAAAGGAATGTGTCAATTCCATAAGATAATTAGGAATTGGAGGGTTATCCTTTTTGTTACAGTTTGAAATGGTGCTAGCCTGATTTCCCTGGAAATGAGTAGATACTTGTTCCCTCATAAGCAGGTCTCTGCAGCCAGCATGCCCATTTCTTTTAGTTTATGCTCAGAACAAATGGGAAACTAAAAAAAAAGAGAGCATCCAAATTTTACTTGGGAATGTTTACAAACACGTTAAAAAGTTATGTTAAGATCAGTTATAAAGTTCTTCTGAGTCTTAAAATCCCTTTTATATATAGCATTGCACAAAACTCATCTGCAGGCTTGTATGTTCTGCACCTCAGAGGATCCCAGTAGCCTTTTGAGAGCACTTCCTCATAACACCATCACACAATTAAGGGAGCCTGTAACATTGCACTGTGTCATTCTCAGAGGATGCAGAAGGTCTCGACTCTAGTCAAAGCCCCACTTGAAAGGGCAATTCTACAACAGAAAGGGGGAAAGATGGCAAATAAACATTGCAACCATTTCCAAATCATAGTTCCCTCTTAGCACTTAACCACTTTGACCAAATTAAGCCCACAGTAAGACCAGTTAACATTAAAAGAGTATGGTAACAAGTTATTTTAAAATAATTTCTTAGTGCAAGCGTTTGACACCAGCAGCATACTTCGGAAATGATTTCTCCAAGACTGAGTAGTAGTGGAAACGCCTAACTGAAAGTGCGTAAGTCAAGGTTCTCCCAATTCCCTCTTGTGACCTGTCTCCTGTTTTAAGTATCTGCTCTACCTTCTCATATTTAACAGCAGACTTAAAATAAGTATTATACAGCCCTATTGCTGTTTCAACAGTTGGATTTCTCCTTCTGCTTTGCTAATGTGCGTTTCAGTTCCTTCAAGTTCTCTGTCAGTACCTCCACCTCATCCATCCGTCCACTGTGTTTGGCATCAAATATATAAGCTTTGATATTATCTATCTGTTGGAGCAGCAGTTCTTCCTCTATAGCCTCCTCTCCAGAGATCTCGCTGCCATCCTCCACTTCAAAGGGATTGGTAGAAGGCCCCTCTTCAAATGGATTCCCAGAATTCCAGCTGCCCCCAGGCTCTTGAAATGGATTTTCATCCTCTTCAAAAGGGTTTGAAGCACTGGCAGGTGCTCCATTAGTTTGCTCATCCTCATCTTCATTTTCAAATGGGTTATATTCTTTTTTATCACCTTGCGGAGCTGCATTAGAGAAAGAAACTACTGGAGAAGTGTCTTTGGCAAACGGGTTGGGATCTTCCTCTGACTGAGGGGTATCTGCTTCATCTTCAAAGGGGTTTAGACAGGGTGTGTGATCGCACTCTTTGTCCTGCTGCGGGACACTCTGGGGTTTGAGTGTGAAGATCAAGTGCCCTTTAGCGGGCAGCTGTTCAACAGCAGGAGTTTCAAAACTTGGGTCCCCTTTGATCGGAGCAGCATCCAAATCCAACGCGTGTGCTGTCAAGTCCCAGTTCTCTTTTGCAACTTCGTGCTGGTGCTGCTTGACTTCTCTGAAGTCCAAGGAGCATGTCCTTAACTTGTGATGTTCTCTTTCCCACTCTTTTTCACGAAGGACCTGAAGTTCCTCCCTCTGCATTTCTTCCTCTTCTGCCTGTTTTTTCGAAAGCTCGATAGCTTTCAGAGTTTGTTGTTGATCATATTCATCCTGAAGCTGCCTCAAGTTCTCTTGCAACATGTGGACCTCATCTATCCTACTGGCTGCCTTTGCTTGCTCGATAAAGGATGTGATGTTGTCAATCTGCTGAAGAAGTGGGTCTGATATCTCCCTCTCTCTCGATATGCTAGAGGTAGGCAACCAGCCTTCGGATTTTCTGACTGTTCCTTTTTTCAGGTGAGCTGCATCACCATTAACTGTGGCTGCAGATCTGGAGACAAAGTCTTTCTGCTTTTCCTCTTGTTTTCCATATGTTTCAAGAGCCACCTAAAAGAAAACAAATGTACTAAGTGAACACCGTGAGGTTGAGTTCTGTTTTAAATATCCATAGGTACATGAAGTTGGCTGATCTTAGACATTGCTGGCTGTCACTGAAATGGACTTTACTTTGCAGAAAATACTGATTCTCATAGTATCACCTAAATGCTTCCCTTCAGGTTGTGACTATATTGATTAAAATCCCTTCAGGTGCCCAGTTGCCCCAAACACACACACACACCCCGACTAAGCTTAAGCCCTTGAAGGAGGGCTTACATACAAGATGTGACAGATCTTAACCCGTCTTACCATCTGCAGTCTTCTCTTCTTCAGCTCTTCATACTGATCTTTGGTTGGCAGGGACATTAGACCAAGCAGTTTTTCCTGGCAAAAGTTGAAATACTTAATAGTGTTGCTTGCAGGCATGCAGCCAGTTTTCACATAGAATCATAGAACAATTCAGGTTGGAAAGAGACCCTTGGGATTACCGAGTCCAACCACTGACCATACATTACAAGGTCACCCCTAAACCATGTCACCCAACACCCCATCTAAACGACACTTGAACACATCCAGGGATGGCGACTCAACCCCCTCCCCAGGCAGTCTGTGCCAGGGTCTGACCACTCTTTCTGTGAAGAATTTCTTCCTAATGTCCAGCCTAAACCTGCCCTGTTGCAGCTTGAAACCATTCCCCCTGGTTCTGTCCCTAATTCCCTGTGAGAAGAGACCAGCACCAACCTCTCTACAATGTCCTTTCAAGTGATTGTAGAGCATGATGAGATCCCCCCCCAGCCTCCTCTTGGTCAAACTGAACAGACCCAGCTCCCTCAGTCGCTCCTCACAAGGTCTGTTCTCCAGGCCCTTCCCCAGCTTTGCTGCCCTCCTCTGCACTCGCTCCAACACCTCGAGATCTCTCTTATACTTGAAATACCTGAAAAGAGACACCACCGACAGAACACCCCTGAAACAAATACCAGGTACTTCTACACAGTCACAGCTGCGAGCCTGAGCATGCTTTTGCTGCCATAACAATACTGCTGGTTAGGGCTGCACCTCAGCAAGAGGTAAAGCCAAGATTCACACGTTTTCTCATATCCCTGAACTCGGCGCTACTCCGACTACCCAATCTGAGGTCATGCTATCTTATTTAGGGCTACCCTAAGTCATTAGGGCAACTACAGAAAACATACACAACTAAACCTCCTGTCAGAATAGTTGCAAACCACAGGGATGCCCGGCAAAGAGGAGAGCACTCTATAAAATTCACATTCAGCTCGTAACATATGCTCCATTTACCTGAACAAAAAGTGTCGCTGAGTATCTTATCATTCTCTGAAGCTGTAGTGTTCTAGGATGAGGCTGGGGATCTTCATGCAAGCCTAGACTCAAAATCTTCTTGCTGAATCAAAGCAAAGAAACAGCCTCATCAGTTCAAAAACAGGGGCCAGTGAAAATACAACAGAAAGGGAGAAAACCATGAAAATTTGCTGATATTCTTTTAGGTAAACCATTTTGGAAATTACAAGTTATAACATTTTCCACTCTCGCCTTTTTTTTTTAAAACAAAGAAAGCAAACAAAAAAAACCCAATCCAAAACACAACCAAAACAACCACACACAAAAACAAACCCCTGCGCCATTATGTGTTTCCCTCTGTGCTGGGTTATTTCCACTGCATTTTAAGTCTGAAAAAGTATGTATAACTGGATGGTGCACAGGAACTGCAGCTGCCTTTTCACGTGCCTTTTCTAACGGAGCAGACAGATTGATGACCCATCTGAATAAGCAGGTATATGCCACAGACAGGCACCAGCAGTTGAGAAAGAGTACAGAGAAGTCATAACAGAGAGATCTTTTACCTTAAGGCATCTATAAATTCATACACTTTTTGGATCTCCACCCTCAAGTCATTAGCATGTTCAAGGCTGTAGGTTGTCTCCCCAGCACTAAGAAATAAATACAATGTTAAGTCGTGCATCCAGCTACCAACACTAGAAGTTATCCCAAAATTCCTAAGATTCAACAGCGATAAGAACAGCTAACACTAAAGAATGATTTATTTCAAGCTTCCTGTGTTTAAAAACCCCTTCTCTGTGACAGAAGTAGATAGTATCAATCATCTTGCAAACATGAACATTTCATAGAAAATAATTTTATTTATCATGGTGATGATTATTATGGGAGAAACTGTATTTTAACAGAAGAATGCCACTCTGCTAAGTATATATCTGTTTTAGGTATTATTCGTAAATGCATCTATTTTGTGGTTTTTTTCCAGGAGACTGGTTACAGAAAAAAAACCCCACTGATTGAATAAGCAGCTACATCATTAAATAGAACAGTTCTCTACTAACATTTGTCAGAAAGCAAAAGGCTGCAACCCCAGATGGGTGTAATATTTAAGATGCTAGTAACCAACTGTTCCCATGGGGACACAATCAATTTATGCACTTTGCTAGAATCTCACATTTATTATTAAAACAGATTAGGATTTAATGGGGAAGACTTCACCAGTTTTTAGCCTCCCTATGCTTTTATATCACAAATATTAAAAGAAAAGGAGCACTCTCTCAAAAGGAACTTCATTATTCATATGATTCTAGTTTCTGGGACTCAATTCTAGTCAGAAATTTTTAGTTTCATCAATAAGTAGTCTGTTTTCTGACAGGGGCTTCCATTATCCAGGACATTCCTATTTTTATTTTTCTCCAATTGTCAAGACATGCAACACCAGCTCTTGCATCAGCTTAGCATGTTTTCACTTCTGTACTTCCTCCTTCCTTTTGGAAGGCGCATTTTTTTACAAAACTGTTTTTTCACAACGAAAAACAGCCTAGTTTTTCTACAAGCATCAGATCCAAAGGACAGCTGCAAATAGTTGTTAACTCCCCAAATAGACATGCTGCATAGTCCAAGGTCAGGGTGCGTATTTCTCCAAAGCAAGAAGTACACCTGAGAGCCTCTTGCAGCTATGGCTTGGGATTTAAGTTTCACTGGTGGGAGCATTATACACAGGAGCTGCAGATCCGCTGCACACAGGGCAGGCCAGCTACACTGAGAACACCTGTCAGATGGAGGTGGCTTGTTACCCCACAGGCAATCCTGTGCTGCTGGCACTAAGCTAAGGGCAGCTAACTGTTTCAAAGAGGCTCATTTACACAACAAGAACTGCAGTCTTCTACTTCCTTTTTGCAAAGAAGACCTGTCAAAGTTTGACAGTTGCATCTCCCTGGGAAGTAGCTTAAAAAAAAATTAAATCAGACTTTTCCATATACAATGTTACCACTAATAATTCAGTACTATGTTTGCAGAGTGTCCAAAAGACAACAGGTAATCCAACACTGCTTTTTCTTATAATTTACACACTCTCGTGGCCTTCGCATGCTACTTCCTTACTGGTTCCCACACTGCTGGACAGGAAAAATACACACATGCATAAATAAAATCAACGAATGGGGCTTACTTCAGCGATTCTGCCATCCTTATGTATTCTGGTGCCTTCTGGTCAACCTTCTCCATGCAGAGACGGAGTTTCTGGTTTAAAACAAAATTTATAAAAACAGAACTTGTATTAAAATACCAATGCAAGAACATCCTGACGTAAACCCTGCATAACATAAACCTTTCATGCACATTCACAGTTAACCATGGTGAAAGCCATTTAACTGTTCAGGATGACAAGACCCAGCAGTTGTCTTCAGAACACAGATGGCACGGCCATGAACAGAGAAAGGCTCCCTGTACACCTGCAAGGTGAATTCTGACTTCAGAATCCGTTTCAATAAATGACTTCTAGCCTTAAATCTCTTCACAAAGAGCACCAACGGAAACTCCCATTACTGCTAACCCGAGGGCGGTGCAGGCTCTACCAACAAGGTCCCTGATGATTACCAGGACCTGCTTTCACAGCGTATTTGAACACAATGTTCCAGCCAGACACTCCTGATTGATACAGATGCTTCAAAAAACCATTTGCCATCAGTGTGAGGACAAACAGTGCTGACACCAACAACTCCTGCGGTTCCAGTGAAGCCCATCAACCAGCGTATCACTGGTTTGAACAGGAACTGTTCTGAGGAAACCCAGCTGACAGTTCACAATTTTGGAGGGGGGCATCTTGGAACTATTAGTTCTGGATTATGAGAATTAAGATGCATCTTGACAAGATGTTTGAAGTTATTGTAGGATATAAATGCCATATAGCAAGTGGCTCCATTACTCCAGAGAGATATATATGTACTCAAAAGAGTCTATTCTAACACAAGCGAGTATCAAGTCCTAAAGCAAGAGCTTGGACATGAGATAAGAAGCCACAAGTCAAGTAGTGACAACAGCAGATACGTACACTGACGATGAACGCAGCAAAGAGCTTGGTTTACCTCATAGAGTTTCACAATCTCTGGGGTGTACTCTTTCTCATCAATCTGTTGTTCTCTTTTCAACAGGGTATCTTTGCAGTGACGACAACAGCGGATTCGGTCATCATCCTTCTCGTCCAGAACAGAGCTCACGCTGCTTATGCTGCTAATGCTGCCACGGCGGGAGCCTTGGACACTATTAGGTGAGGAGTTCGGGCTTGTATGAGAGCCCAAGGCCTCTTTGCTGGCACTAGTGAGTTTGCCTAAAAATTAGACAGAGATAATTTTACCGTGCCTGGAGACACCAACAGATTTACCAATACAGATGAACTGCAGGTTAACAGAGCTTTACATTTAGGTAATGTTAGGAAACCAAGTTGAAACAGTCTGCTGAAAGATAGGCAAAGAACCCAGACAACCAAGACTGCAAGTCAGAATTTGGGTCTCACTGTAAATGCTGCTCCATTCTAAACGCAGCCAGAGAGCAGACTGCTGAGAACCACCTACTTGGCTTATGCCTAGAAGCATTCTCCCGTTGGAGCTTGCATAGTTATAGCATGCAGAAGAACAAGTATGTTACTGCTGTCCATGATTTGTGCTTGAATGCTCCAAAAAGCACAATTAATGTCATTTATTTCCACAGAAAACAGTCTCCTTTCCAATACACTAGATGAGGAACTGAAAGTTTTAAGGGTTTCTTAAAGGCTTGTGGATGAATTTCCTTAATGTCAGCATCTGGACAACTAGGGGAAGACTGGAAATATCCACAATCATGTTAAATGCCAAGAACATTGGTAGCTGTAATTCCTAAAGTTAACACCTTCACAATTATGGTACTCAGTAGGATAAGACACTAAATATTCGCTGTATTTACTAGCAATATATACTACTACTACTTCTAGTAACTTTTTCAGTGTTACATAACGCTTCCAAAGCTGAAGGAGGAATGGAGAAATCAGTCCTCTTACTCAGTTTCACAGACAAGTGCCTGCACAAAACTGAAGGACACATTAAGGACTATGTTTTCCACCCAGCAGCTTTTTTCTAATGGCAAAAAGCCGTGATGCAGTTAGCACCCTGAGCGAGCTCAGGCAAGGAGGATTTAACACCACACACTACTTACTTGCCAAAGGAAGACTGACGAGTTCCATGCACTTCTTGCACATAATAGACCCACAAAGGCGGCAGTGGTGACGTCGGTTTCGAATACTGAACTTACTGCCACAGTCTGGGCAGAACGGAACATCCTGATCACTGACCCAAGGCACAACAGACTTCTCTATAGCTGTGATCGGGCAAGAGGGGAGGGAATACACACAGTGTAAGATACACATTGAATTAACTCCTCAGCTAGTTAAACTACAGGAGCAAATAGCGTGAGGTAAGATCATACCAACCTCTTATTTCAGCTGATACCAACCTCTAATTTTAGCTGACTCAGTGTTTGCTCTGTCAAACGATGTAAGCTAGTAGAAGATAAACAACACGTTCAAGGAAATTGTAGTTTTGCATGAAAAATCCCAACACAACCTAGCTGAACAAGAGAAAGAAACCTAGCTTTTAAGAGGTAAGAGTGTCAGCCTGTTTTACACCAGATTTCTGCAACTTTCCTAAGTATTTCTAATGCTGCATTCATACAAGTAGTGCTAAACAACGACTGCCAAACCTGTCAAAAAAGAGCATTTTGGACGTGATCCTTACAGCATCCAACAGTGCTGCATCTGAGCCAAAACACAGGTACATCATTGGTAGATTTTGGAGAAGGAGAAGCTGGAAGAACCATGACGAAAACATGAGGGAAAATTTAGTGAAGTAAAAGATAGCGAAAATACACAGGAAAACAGATGGTTCTTGAAGCACATGGATGTAGCATCTTCAGCTTGAGAACAGCGCATAGGAACAGAGCTCATCTCCAGAGCACAGGCTCAGACCAAGTTCAGTACTCAGAAGTGGCAAGTAGCAACACGTGAACAGAGTCATAGTTTAGTACTCTTTATGAAGCGCACGACTAGATCGATGGGCGCACTTCATATTAAAATATTTTTCTTTAATCTAGGAAACATTCAGAAGGCTGAAATATTAAAAAGCAGTAAATTTACCTTTTCTAACCTGATTATTAATTTATTGACTTCAACTACATAGTGATCAATCCTGGCTGCTCGGTGTTTCTTGAAATCAGAAAGATGGCTTCTCATAGCACCTGGAAAGAGATCAGAAAGTTTTCATGGTCACCCAGGTGTTCTATATGGATTTAAATACATTTAAATACCTCCTGGAAGACAGCTGTCTCTTCACCACTTATTTCTCACATTTAAGTCAAATTCTGAAGACATATATTAGAATCCTACATTTTCAAGGTGCTGCTCTAAATAAAACACAGTTAAAGCTTAATCACCAGGCTAGCAATAAACAGTGTTTTATTTCTACTACAGAAAACAACAGGCACTATGTTAAAGAGAACATCCACAATAAAGGTTAGCTGGGGTACCGACTCTACACTCCCTCCCCACAGTTACCTGCATTTTCACCATCACCCCACACTGGGCAGCCTGCACAAAACCCATGTGCAGACCGTAAGTCCACGATACAGTGCATCACACACGGTACAGACACAATTCCACGCTGCTTCAGCAATACTGTAGCACCTTCCCAGTTAAAATTAGAAGAAAAGTCATCCCCACCGAGTATTGCTTTCTAGCTCTCCTACCTACTTCCTGGGGCTCCCACATGTATGGATCTACTCCACCATAGCTGAACGACTCGTATCGTTCCTGAGATCCAGAATCGGTTCTGTCATCTCCTTCTCGTTTCAACAATTTCTTCTTTGCCCTTTTGGCCTTCTGGACTAGATCTGAAAAACATAAACCCAAGTTACCAAATGTGGTGGGCAGTTACCAAATATCTGGCACATGAAACCAGGATAAAGTACTCCTCAACTTTCAGTCTTCTTCCTTGATGACACGTTTACCCTCCACCTGTTCTGTTTAGAGCAAGAATGCAGTTCAGACATTAAGTGCTCTTTGTTTTCTGTCATAAAGTAGCACTAAGGTCCTAATGAAAAAACAGTCGTCTGCTTTAAACTACGGTCCCCATTTCACTGCATTCTGGGACATCGTACAGATACCTTAATTCTCGATGATTTTCTTAGGAGTCAAGGATGCTCAACACTTTATCTTGTTGCACAACCTATGAACTAAGGATTTCAGCATGCTTGTACACCTAAATAATTTCAAAGGTACTAAACAGCCCACTGCACTACTTCATGTGAATGCTGGCAAGAGGAGGGCAGAAAGACAGACCAGGAACCTGAAACTTGAGAGCTTTTATTGCCCTTGCAGGTACGTTCCTCTCGGGGTGCTAGACACTGGGGGCACTACTCCGCCTGCCAAACGCATTCAGTACCTCCTTGAACTACGTCTTTTATATGTCAGCCTTTCTAACAAGCTGCTGGGAACCAGGAGTTAGCGTGTCCTTTCATTATTTCTAGTTTTCTTTCTTTTTGTGCCTGAAACACTGAAGTTCCACCTTGACCTTACTGAGACTGTCTCCACACAACTTCAGCCCCTAGGGCCGTGGCCAGCAGGACCTTCCTGCAGACATCACACTTCCTGGCAGCTTTTCAGCTGCTGAAGTTATGCTGCCTCCCAAAACGATACTCAGCGATATAAAACATACTTCTCGACAAAACTTTGTCCGGTAGGCAAGGGCTTTGCTAGCATTGTCACATCACCTAAGAAACGGGAATTCTTCTTCCCCCCACCTCCTCTCAAGCCAGCGTAGCAAATACCAGCTAGACTCCGTGGTCTCTTAAGTGAAGTTTACACTATCCAAATAGAAAATGTGTTTGCACTCGTGACTTTAGAAGTCTGCTCAAAACAAAGCAGCGATGCCCCTTGGCACTGGCACAGGCACAAAAGCTTTTCAAGCAACCTTCAGAATCTTGTCGGCCATGAAGTCAAACTTAGCCACCTGTGTACGACTCAGGTGAAATAATTAGGTGATTAGCAAGCATTTCTAGAACTCCACAGTTCGGATAGCTGGAGTTCAGCACAAAGTCACGCTGGCACTTGTGATGCACAGGAGATTCTGTTGTCCTTCGTTCTTCTAGGAGGGATTTTACTGGATAGACCTTGCCATGAACAACTGGCACAGAAAGTAAGCAGACAAAACCAACATCCTTTATGCAAGAACACAGATGAAAGACAGCCTGAGAAGTCACAGTACACTATTTTAGAAGAACACTAGAGAGAACAAAATCAAAATGCAGGTGTTTCATGTCAAACAAAAGAAGCGTTTGTGAAATCTTACCAAACCTGAGTTGTTGTTGTTCTTTCCTCTTATCACAACAAAAACCACATTGTTGTTCTGGTACAAACACTCCAGGGAAGCGCCTGCAGTTCAGCTCTGCAGCACCGTGCCTGTGATGGCAACGCGAGCGCAATGCTGCCCAGCCTGCCTACGCTGCCCAGGAGGAAAGCAGAGCGAAGAAGTAGCCAGACTGACGCTGAGCAACTTAACGATTCGCAAAATATTCAGCTGTGGTATCCTTAAGATAGGCTTGTTAAAAATCAAACTTTTCACTGAGAAAAAGGCTTTTGAAGTAATAATCATCAATATCAGGGGTAAAAAAAAAGGGGGGAGCAAAAAATCAAGACTGCCAGGCTGCTACATCTAGTGTCATAAAATAAATTCAGAAAGAGTTTTGCAGTTAGTACACAGAATTATCACCAGGTTTTACACATTTTTTTCTCTCAATGTAAAATGACACCGTGCATGCAAGGGGATTTAAAAAAGGGAAATATTTTAGTTAAAATCCAAAGGGATTTTTCAAACAGCAGTAAAACCTAGTAATCCATAGTGCAACCCTGGGACCACTCCCAGCACCTGCTGGCAGCTCCACCACCCACATTCATTTCCATCTTTTCCCACCAGCCTTCCTTAACTTTACAGTTTAACTGTGACTACAGCTTTACCTGCTGTCAAAACAAGAGACCAGTGAATTGGTACCTGGCAAGTACCAGAGATTTCCCCTATTTGGTAAGATCTTCAAGTAACGCCTGGGAATTCATCTGGGTTACAGCGCAAGAGTCTTCCCATAAAATCGAACAAATCCAAAAGGCCAATAATAAAAACCACGCATAAAATCAGATGCTTTAAGAGCACACCTGCTTCGCTTGCTGAAAGTATGAGAAGAATGTAAAAGTTACGCATCGGCCTAAGACACCGTGCAGACAGATGGAAGCCCGTCCCTCACTTGGGTTAATACTCGGCTGCTCTGGGACATTTGCAGCCCCAGCAGCCTCCCGCCCGGCGGCAGGGAACGCGGCCCCACCGCCGCCTCTTACTTTTGAGCTGCGCTCGGACGTCCCTGTCCTCGCCCGAGTGCTCGTCCTCGTAGTGCGACTGCAGCTGGTAGAACGACTGGAGGTCCTTGAGGCAGAGCGGGCACAGGAAGCCTTCCCGCACGTCCCCCGGGTCGCCGAAGGGCTGC